TCAAAATTACTCTTCCATACAAAAATAATCATCTAAAAATCCTTATTACGGCCATGGGCATAGCATACCCTAATTAACAAGGGGGGACTTAAGTCCTTGACTATTTTTTATTAAACTATGCTAAAATTGAATTACAACATCAATAGTCATTACAGTTATATACTTATATAAAAAGTTAAAATGTACATAGTCAATCAATAAATATGCAATGCATGTTTATTGAATTATGACTCTGAAGTGAGTACCTACATTAAAAAAAGAAACAAAACAATTTTGAAAGTTTTATTTTATTATTACATTATATATTAATATTCTTAATATAAATAAACGTAGGATTAATACAATTTACCAAGCTTTCAAATAAAAAACATTTTATTTTAATGTACCTACTCTTATGATAAATGTWAGTCAATTCTACGTTTATTTGTACTGAATATATTTAAAATATCTTCAGTTTTTATTTCTGAAGTTAAGTCTCGTTCAATTTGTAGAATAGAAAGGTTTGAAAACCGATCATTTGTCATTGTACTTCTGATCCATGTATTTATGTGCTTCATAACTGAAAATAAGATAAAAGCTAGATAAAAGAAGACTAACCTAACGTAGGGGGACTGAACCACTAATTGGGGGGGGGACTATAGTCCCCCTAGTCCCCCCTCATCCTACGCCCATGATTACGGCCTATCTGGGCTTATACAATCCAAATCTAGAGATGTGCTACAACATTGTATTCTTGTATTACTTATTAAAAGATTATAGTAAAAAAATACAATTTTTATGAAAAACGCCAATATAAATTAATCATCTTTGCATATAATTATAGTGGAGATGCGTTAGTTTGGACAAAATGAGTAGAGGAATGAAAATTGCGAATTATAAAAAGTGGAGGGATGCCATCCCACTGCATCCCCTCCCCATTTTAACCACTGTTATTATAATAATTAACAATGAGTGTTATGCTTATGACTATGGTGGGTATATGCAATGCAAGATTTATATGTATTGTAGCACAATTCAACTGACAATAAGCAGCCTATTTATTAAATTTTTTCTAATATAAAGGTAAAATAAAGGTAAAAGGTCTGCAAGATAAAATATTATGTACTCATATTGTATATTTCTATATTAACATTATTTACAAAAGGGTTATAGGCCTCTAATGTAATGTAAATGACTATGTAGTGCTTTAGAAAATAGCGATTAAGAAGACAATGATTAAAATGATTTATAATGATTGTTTGTAGACAATTTCCAAAATATGAACAAATGATAGTGTATTTTTAATTAGGTAGCAAAAATTATAATTATTATGTACAATAGTGTGTGTGCTTATAAGGCTGAGTGGCGTGAAAATGCTCAGGTCTTAGATGGTAACGTTGTAATCCAGGCTTCCTTAAATAGTTAAATATGATGTTAACTCCTTTGTTTTGACGGCACACCTCCCCACAAAAAAAAAAGTTTTTGTCTGTAAGACAGAATTCTTTACAATTTTGATTATGAAGTATAGTTGATATTGTCACAATTTCATTACACATTAAGTTTATGATATAGTTTGTATAATTACTTGCAATCTGTTTTAATAGTTAAAGTAATTTAGTTAAACAATTTTTAGATACATGGCATTTTCAATCATTCACTGACTCACAGTTTACATTTTAACTATTTTTTTAGATAATATCCCATAAGTGTTAATACATTTGATGTGTATTTGATATGAATAATATTTATAAAATCCTTCACCAAAATAATAAATACAATATATCTGTGTGATTAAAATATAATATAAAGTTATTGCACATCTACGTCAGTATATCAAATATATATATATATATATATATATATATATATGTATTTATTTATTAATTTAGGATAATTGAGTATGTATATTATAGGGTTTTATATCATTTAAATTACTTTTATAAGTTCCTTACAGTCTCCCTTACAATAATCTTACTTGAATAACTCAAAATTTCTAGTCATTTTGTTTAATTGTTTAAAATCAAATAGTTGATTTATCCTCTTCTTAGCTTACAAAATATGCCAGTTTATACATATTGATGTCATATCATCTCCCTTAAGTTTGTAAATTTGTATTTGTGTTTTTTTTTTGTTTCTTCAATGAATTTCTTTTCTCTAGAATAAACATAATTTACATAAATTTTTAAACTCTTCCGTATGCTAATAGGATATTAATTAATATTAATAGGATAATAGCATATGTATAAAGTTCACAGATTATAAATAGCATACTATAAGTCTATTATTTTATAGGGTGAATTTGCCAATTTTGAAATTCATATTAACGCGCTGGTGTTAGAAAATGATGGATCTGTGTTGGCTGCTGCAATCACAGCTGAAGAACTTGTACTAATGGATGCATGTATACTGATGTACGATGTGATTGTTGCCACTTCATTGGTTTGATGTATTTTTTTACATTATTAATGAACATGCAGGAATTAATTATGTGTTCAAGCAATTACACTCCTCTAGAAAATAATTAAGATACTATTAAGTACTCAGAATAAAACATTTTAAAATTATTGTCAATTTGATATTAAAATTAAAAAATAACTATTGAAGATTGAATATTGCTTTCTAATACAAAGTGTCATACTGCCGTCTGAATATTAGACACAAACATACATCATTATGAAAATAAAACCAATCGATCCACTCAGAATCTAAAACTGAGACAATTATAAATAATATATTTTTTATACCTTATACACAATGTACTTATTTCATATTGTATTATACACATAATAAAATGAAAGTTATTATATACATAATTAAACTAAAATTCAGTACCATTTATGGTAAATAAAAATAAAATTTCATCTGTTATACTATTTATTTTTCAATATCTATCGTAATCAAAACTAATTCTAATCCATATTGCTTTTAAATTAGAAAAAATAAATAGCTATCAGAAAATATTAATGGTACCTATTATTAAAATAATAAATCAATTTTTCAATGATAATCCAAACTGTCAACTGTAAGTTAATATGCTAGACTTTGTACTTGCCATCAGTTCAATGATTTAAATTTAAATGTGAATTATATTATTCATAATACTGAGCAACAATAATTTAGAACATAAATGTCCAAAATTTAGTTAAATATTTTGAAAAAAAAATTGCCATTGTTTAATTGTTTTTAATCATTCATTTACCTATCTAGCTAAACTGTAAGATTTTAATAGATTTATTTTAAAGATATTTGGCTGTAGTTTATATGTTTAAAAAAATGTAAGGATAGGTATTATATTATGTGTTTATGTTAGGTTAGGTCACTACAATTAAGGATTGTATCAATGTGATAAATATCTAGTTACCTTTGTTTTTAATATTGTTTTACGTATTATTGTTTTAATTATTAAAAATGTTCTCTTTCTTTAATAGGGTATTTAGTATTTACAAAGATAGAATTTTAGTGGATTCTACATATGATGAGGAAACATTGTGCTCATCTAGGATACAAAATGAAGAAAACAAAGGCACTGTCATGATAGCTAATATGAAGAATTTGCAACGAATTACAGAATTTGCTCAGAACGGTTCAATGGATGTAAACATGTTTCCAGAATGCGTACAAACATTGATTACCTAATCAAAATTGTAAACTTTACAAAATGGTGATCTCTGTAGTTAGAAATGATGTTATTAAATATTTTGAAAATGAAACTAAGGAATAATTAAAAACATTAAGCCAAATAATTAATTTAAAAATCTATATATTTTTGAATGATTCTCTATTTCCCTTTGTCATGCCACCAATTTTTGTGAAATTTTTTGTGTGTGTTTGAGTGGTTTGCTGAATGGTCTAGATTCACAATTGAACCTGATAGCTCCAACTCAAACAGCTGCTTAAACAGATTTTTGAGATTTATGATGGAGATCTTTGTTACAAATAGTTGTTGTTGATTGCAAGAGAAATAATAAGGAGAAAATTGTATTTTTTTTAATAATTGCTATTAGTTACTCGAGAAAATAAGGTAAAAGCATGCATCAAATTGCCACGTTGATCGTTTTAAATAAAGAATATAATATATTTAAAAAATGTGAGATTTGAATGTATGTTTGTAATTTATATAGGTAGATTTTGTGGAAATTTCAAATTGTTCTTGTGTTTGTAATAATATGTAAAAAATATGTAGCCATATGGCAACCATTTGAATAAACACAAATAATATTGGTTTTTTATGCTGGAAAAAATAACATGGAGTTAGCTACTCTTTAGCTAGATACTTGAATAATGATTAAAAAAATTTAAAAGTATGTACACATTTTTATTTCCATTTAGAACAAAGATTGTTTATTATCGTCATCATGTCTTCTTATTTTATAAATATAAATAATTATAAAGACATTAATTCTCCAGTGTAACGATTGTATCATGTAGCCACATAGGTATATAATTTTATGTCACATATGTACATATATTTAATATTTAACTTTGTTGATTTGCATTATTCCAAATTAATAATTAATAAAATACTTGATACATTTAATTTATATGTATTTTAAATTATTCATCAATCAAGTAAATTTTAATAGATACAATATTTCAAGAAAATTATTAAAATGCAAGGTAGATACTAGGTATTAATAGTAAGTTAGAAAAATATATTTCAGCTTATTATAATTTTTATTGCATGTAAACATACTTTGTGTATATTTGAGTAAAATTTTAGTTAGTAATAAAATAATATGTAAAAACGAAACTCAAAAATACTATCTATATTTATAGTGGTTGGTAATAATGGGATATTTATTAATTATTAATTAATTATCTAATTGTTCTTATTGGCTATTTATAGTCCATATTATTTATTTTTCATTCACGTCTTTAACTGATGTAAATTTGGTAAATATATCTGGTATTTAAGTGATTTCTAACAATAAAAATAAAAAGTCTTGTGCTGATTACCTACTTATTGTTTTCTGTCATATCTATTATTTACAAAACGGATAAGTATTCAGATGTGACGTAAATTAAATGATATTTTTTCATATTACATATAATATGCCCTATATTTTAACCTATATTAGTGGTGTAAATTATAAGAAGGTACTAAAATTGGCACAAAATATCATCTCTCACCACACATACCTACACAAATGTTGAGAATAATATTTTTGTACCTAGTTAAAAATTATAATTTATATCTACTTGCCTATTTAACAAATTGACTGATGTGATTATCATACCCGGAGATCACATGGTTGTAGTTTGTTCCCTAGGGTTAAATATTTTAAGTCCGTTTATTCAGTTCACTGAATGTGATTTGAATACCGCTGTATGTAGGATATAGCTTGGTTCCTACTCAATTTTTTTTTTTTAATAATTTACAGCACAGAGTACCTACTATTATTGGTATTCAATCTTATGACTATATGGTAGATACCTACCTACTCATGGCATTTGAGGACAATTCTATTAAAATACTATGATGAAAGTAAATTTGTAAATTTTTTCCTTGAACTCATAATTATTTATTTCAAACCATTATTCAAATTTGTAAAATAATCTACGATCATTCGGGTTTCAGATTAACCAGGATTTTATATTGGGTTGTTTTGCTATAACACAAATTCGAATTGTATGGGTTTCGGGTGTTTGATTTTTTTTTATTAAGTGTTTTGAAGGTTGTTATTAATATACATACTTAAGCTGTGTTGTGCAGTAGCCAGTAGTTGTAGACACGATTATAGGTATAACAAGTAGGACGTAGGTAAATATAATCATACATTTCATAACCTACCACCTAAAAGGCCCATTATACAACTACTGTTGTGTCTGTTTCACTTATCGAATTTAACGATTGTCATCATTGGTAAAATGATATTATATTAATTGTATTTACTAGGTACGTGTTTTTTGATCGCTATGCAGATAAAACTGTATTGAGCGCCACTTCGACGATACAATGGACGCGGGTAATAAACGACATGCTATTATAACCCATATACATAATTATTATATAGTGAATAATAATAGTAGGTGTCTGAAAAAAACAATGTATTATTTTACGATAATACACAATATCGTAGTCTGATTATGTGTCCGAGCACTCATATACTTTCGTTCGGTTCGACAATGTAATGTGCGTGTGTTTCGTAATTTCGTTCGCGGCCCGATGACCATGTTCGACGACGAGTACAATTCCGGACCTGTGTATCTGAAGCATAGAAATTTCGACGATGGACGGCAGCAGCCTCAACAGATGAGTGCAACGAAGCTGGCCGATTTGGCGTTCAATTCGAAAGTCAACAAAGGAAAGGATATCAGTAGTTACGTCGTTTTTTGTATTGTAATTAAGACGACTACAAAAATATTATTTATCGTGTACGCAGACTGCAGAGGCACAAGACATATCCCAATATAATATATATGTTATATGTATGGTTGACAGCTTACATTTTGAGAAATCCGGGACACATAAATAATTTGGCATCCTAGAATTAGACCTCAATTGGCACAATTAACCTTTTTTCAAATAGGTATATTATGATGGTTATTGGGTTACTATAGTTTTGCATTTATAATAGGTAGACCCGGTGATTAGACCACTATTTTCAACGATTTTTAATTATTATATCTGCTAATAATTGGGCCAATATTAAATTAATATGTTATATATTAATATTATATTACAAATAACAAGAAAAGCGAGAAAATTAACTTAAATTTGATAAAATAAAATTTTTAATGAAATAAAAAAGTATAAAAAGAGAAAAAGAAAAAATCTGAGTTTGTAAAATCGGTATTAAATTATTTTAAAAAATAATTGTACACAGATTATACTGATCATAAATGGCTAGCTAATATCATGAATTCCTAACACCAGTATAAATACTATAAATATTATATTATTATGTTGTATAAATTAAAAAATCAAATATTAACTCATTTACAACTACATATGTCTAAGAAATAACCTTAACATCAATATTTTAATCGATAATTTTGTCCAACGACATATTTAAATTCGATCAGAAATTTAATAATTTAAGTTAGATTATATTATGCATAATATTACATAAATAAAATAAGTTGAATAATTTATTTTCAAAATTTGGCGAATTGACATACTTTGAAGGTACAGATATCTACTAATTTCTATCATAGAATAGGTATAGACCTATATATAGATATACCAGATATATGTACTATTAGCCATGTGCCGTCTCCCCCACTCACATTTTGAGCCCCTATCGGCCCTATCCTAAATTTTTTTGCATCAACATTTCAAAAATTATAAATTTATTTCAACGTGGCCTAAAATAGTCGACTCCCTGAAATAAAAGTACAACTACAGTCCCTCTCCTTCTTGTGAGTGCCTTGCATGGGAGTGCCAGTGTACAAGACGTATTATATAGCAAATACCTAAGTTATTGCGATTTTTTTTTATATCTATTATGTAATAGTACCTATACTGGTGTTTCTATTTTGTCATAGAACTTGAAATACAAGACGATTTTGGCATTCCGGTAAACTATGTAAGAATTAAAGCGTTGGAAGATGGTATACGGATGAACATAGTTAGTGACAAAAATTCATTACACAGAGCCATCACTCCAGTACTAATTCTGGCGCAAATGTGCGCTCTTTTACCTGTTCAAGGCATTCGAGGGAAAAATACTAGTTATTTAGTGTGAGTAAAAATATGTACTTAATACTTAACTAATTATTCAATTTTAATTTCAGTACCTATATATATCGTATATAATATATATACAAGATGATTCACTAAACATGTTCATCTACTTCATCCTCATTTTTCCTTCAATAACTGTCTCCGCTTAAAATTGTTTTTTTTTCGAATACAGTCGTTGAATTCAAATTAACAAAATATACATTACGGTATAATCAAAACCTATTAGCAATTATTAGCTCTTCTTTTTTATTTGTGAAAAAAAAATTTTTTTTTCATATAAATTGTCTTATTATTTAATTCAAAAATGTTATATCTTTTTTTAGATTCAATTGGTTCAGCTGGCCAGTTATCTATGTCTTCATTATAATTGCAGCGTCTCTCTTAATTCTTTCATTTTCACTCATCAAAATATATATGACTGGACTAACGTATTACAGCACGGGTAATAATTATATTCTATAAATATATCAATATCTAGTATCTACTATAATTTTCTTTAAATGTGTACAATCCCCTGGTACCTATTGATCTACATACATTGATAGGTAGCAGTGGTAGCACAAGATCGCAGGCCAATTAAATATTATAGCAAATAAAAATAATAATTTTCGATATACAAATTAAAACAATAACCTAAATTCTAAATTAATATTATTTTCATTGCGAATTTCATTGAATGTAGAGCCGATAATAATAATATAGCCATGCATAGGTACTCGAATATATTATTGTACATGATTTTAATTTGTATTAAATCAACTGGTATTACTATGATGTTATTATAATTAGGTGTGGCATTCAGTATCCATTATTGCATAGGTACCCCTTTCGGCTTTCACTATATATATTATATAGGTAGTAGTTAATTAATAATTTATATAATTCCACATAATCGACCTTCAATATTTATCGATCAGCACTCAGCATGCTGTTAATGACCTGGTAATTTGGATTTATGTGAGTTGTGAGGTTCATAATTCAGATGGTGAATATATTGTAATGGGCTGATAATTGTGTAAAAAAAGTATTTATATTTCAGACTAGCTATTGGAATGACAAAGGGGCACCTTGCAAAATGTTTGTGCACTATACTTAGACCTAAGTCCTAAATACTTAAACATAATTACAACTTCTTTTTCAAAATTAAATTTTTATTTGTCGATGTATAACGTAATAAATATTCTTCTTAATAAAATAAAAATATGTAGGTACTGTCATTTATTAAAGTAAAACTTAAAAATTATCACAATAAAAATATATAATTTTTTTTTCAAAATTGTCGTTTATGGTAATGAAATTAAAAGATTTAATAATGATCTATACTCGATATTTCAAAATTTTGAAATTTTAACTTTTTTGAATATAATTTTTTACATAATGAAATTAAAAGATTTAATTATGTAAAAAATTATATTCAAAAAAGTTAAAATTTCAAAATTTTGAAATATCGAGTATAGATCATTAAATAGATCACCTCGTATGTTATCCTACAATGATTTTATGTCAAAAAATAAAATAGAGACATCTGTAGGACTATAATTATAGTACCTATACTTATTTAGTAACATGTATGTATGTATACCTATTATATCAGGTGTAATCAACAATCAACTTCCAGACGCCACGCACATTTTTACGGGCCCTGATAGTCTGTACGCAATTATATATAATTTTTACATTTTTACATTATAATGATTAAATCGTACAACAGGGAGAATTTTAGTCTGGTTTTTTCTACAAAATTATGTTTTTGATACTAACATAATTAATAGTGATGATTTTCATTGTACATTTAGTGTTATTTATTTCATAGGAGAAATAATGTTTTTTGGAAGTTCCCTGGTAATTTACATCCTATTTATTCACTTGGCAAGAGAATGGCCAAAAGTTATGAAAAAATGGGAACTAACGGAACGTGAAATGAGACAATTTGGTTACCCATCCAAAACGGCTTTGAAGTTCAAAATACTTACAAGTATCATAATGGTGCTTGCTATAGGTACATGCAACTTTGAAATTATATTTTTGAAATTAAATCTAATTAGTAATTACTAATTAGTAATATAGGTAATTAATATGTTTAAATAGTATAGAAATAAATTACTAATTGTCTGGCATCATATCCTAGCTAATATATAAGCTAATCATTATTAATGAATAATGTAATAACTTTCTTAAAAAAATGATAGATCGCGTATAGCTAATATAACCATCAAGCTTGCTAATATCTATTTAATATTTTAATCAATAAAAATTTAAAAAATTTTTTTTTTATTTTTTAAACAATGTTTAGAACAAATTTAAATTAACTATATCACCTAGCTACTACCTATGTAATATTTAATTTTTTTTTAATTTTATTAATGTTATGTCACGCACTTTATAATGACATTCGTGTAATTATTATTAAATAATGTGTACATATTATTATTATGTTAGATAATACAATATTTTAAAATAAAAATAAAATAATAATCAATATATGTATGTATATATTTTATTGGTTAATATGCCGAAATTATTAAGTACCTTTGCTCATCTCACTAGTATCTAATCTTTGATAATCTGATTTTATTTAAATTTTAAATAAGCTAAAACTAAATTTTCAAATACTTATACAATTTTTTAATGATTAACTTAAATGAGTTTTAATTAACATAAGCACTTACACATTAGTTTTTGACAGTGTATAKTAAAAAATGTGCAAAGAAGTTTGCACCACCAACGGAGTAAGGATACTTTTTAAATGGTATAAAAAACATCTAATTATTTTCAATGTAATCCATAATTTATAGACTTAACAAATTCCAAAATATAGAATTTAAAAAAATATATTATTGGTGGAAAAATAACGATGTCAGGCTATACGCTTGGAAAATTATATAATATATAGTATACAATTCTTTTAAATTTGATATTTTTTAAATTTTTTTTTTGATATTACAGTTGAACACTCTGCTTCCGTTTTAACAGGAATTATGAAAGCAATTCCTTGTTCGACGGGTGGATTGGATATTTTCCGAGCTTACTTCTCTATGTCTTTTCGACAAGTTTTTACATTGATTAATTATTCACTCATAATTGCTATACCTTTGGGGTTTTTAAATCTTATGCTTGCTTGCGCTTGGAATTATATGGATTTATTTATTATCATACTAGCATGTGCGTTGTCCGATAAATTTAAGCAGCTCAATCAAAAACTGGTCAGTGTCAAAGGAAAGGTTTGTCATAATATTTTATCTAAATATATAAATAGGTACATTTATCTATTACAAAGGTCCGTCAGGATATTTGTAAGGAGCATGCATTGCATATATACTCCAGCCAGGAGAGAACGGACGTAAAAATCGTCTGTCACTGCTTTGATAACACCGAATTATATCAGTCGAAAGTCGGTCAGCCACGATATGCAAACAATAGTTTCAGAAATTGTTTTTAGAAACATAAAAAACGTTTAATGATAGGTTCAACTTACACTCTTTAGGTGGCCGCGATCAACACAATTAAAAAACAATATATTTTTGTTAATTATTACTTGCCAATTTGCTATACATTATATAATATAATATAATAGAGCATAGGTACTACGTATAACAAGTGTAATGAAATCCGTAATTTAAAATTTTTCTTTTTCTCGGGTGGAAGTAGGCACCTACATCTAAACTGGTTATTTCATTATGATATTATATACTTAAAAGGACATATTCGTACCAACTTTTTAGTTTTATTAATTTAATTATTACCGCTAGTTATTAATAATTCTTTAGTTATATATCGAAGATCAAATAAATGTATTAATTTTTTTTTTTTAACATAAATTAGTAAATGATTATTCATGAATTAATTTTATGAATAATTTTGTATATTCACAGTATAAACCGAAATCTAACACGAAATGATTAGTTACAGACATGCGTACGATGACCACGCAAAACATCAGGGTCTACGATTGTATAAGGCTATAAAAATTCATTCAATGTTTTAATTTTAATTCAATAATCATTATCATCATTAAATATTGTGTCATATAATTTTTACTAGAACATTTTAAAACCCTTAACAAAAGTAACGCGTATAATACAATTTAAATAGGTAACTACCTTTATGTTTTCTTCTATTTATTTATTCAATTTATCTGGATCTGTTTTAGTTCAAAATAAACCTAATATATTAGATTTATTAGGTTATTTTATGAATAATGACATTTATGTATCTGTATAAACTGTATCTATACATAATGACATTGTACATTAATGATTGAAATTTAGGTACTTCCAAGTACGTATTGGCGGAAATCCAGAGAAACATATAACCTATTAGCGGCGTTAACTCAAGATTTGGATGAGTTTTTGTCACCGGTGATACTATTATCATTTGCTAACAATTTGTACTTTATTTGCTTACAGCTTCTAAATAGTTTAAAGTATGCAAATTACTATTATTTATGTATATTTGATTAAAGCTAAACGTGTTTTCAGACCAATGCATAACGTTTGGGAGGCTGTTTACTTCGTCTTTTCATTTACATATTTGGTTGGAAGAACATGTGCTGTATCTTTGTATGCTGCTTCCATAAACGATCAAAGCAAAAAACCGAAATCCATCCTATTTGCTGTGCCAACCGAAAGTTATGGAGTGGAGGTGAATTTAAGTTCAGCTTAAGATTATTTAACATTATAATTAACCTTATTAATATTAATAATATATTTTTATGTGAAGTGTGTTAATAATCAATACATTTTGTTAAAACTTTAAAAGTGAAAATTACTATAATTGTCAACGAAATTGAATCCAACAATCTAAGAGGAACGTTATATACCCGCATGTGTGGTCTTCGTTTTACAAGTGCGTACCTAACATAGCAAATTTTACACCCAGAAGATCACATTTAACTCCGTGAGTTTAAAATTTAGATTTTATTATATTTTAATTTTAAAACGAGTAACGAGTATTTTAAAATTGTAAATTGTTTGTATATCTATCTTAGATTACTCATAACTCGCTTTAAAATTAAAATATAATGAAAAGCAGAGAAGCCTTCAATAATAATGTTATCTTTAATTTTTATATAAGTGGTCAATTCCCTCAAATTTTAAACTCGCGGAGTGAAACGTGATCTGCTGAGCGTAAAATTTGATATGTTATGTAATTGTAAGGCGGAGACAACACATGCGGGTATATTAACGCCCTCTTAATGAAAATAAAATAACAAGGTTAAAGTTTGTAAAAGCTTGGGTATCAAAAAAATATAAACCAAATTTTTAACTGAAATGTTTGATTATACTATTTTTTTAAAGTTTTAATAGTAATAATAATAATAATAATAACAAAAACGGAGTTCTTCAAGGTTCCCCTCAGCATTTTTTTTATTTCAAACGGCAATCAATAATCTTACTTACATTATCACAAATCCTGTAAAATCAATTATTGCTGCTGACGACACCTACATATACATTCGTGGACTATTCGTGGTACCTACGCACATTTCTGTAATTAGCGGAATACTCCAAAAGTGCATAAATGACCTTTTTGAATGGTACTTCAAAGCCGGCTTTATTTTCTCACTTCAAAAGACAAAATGCATTTTATTTTAAATAAAAGAAAATTAACAAACCCAAAACTCTTTCTTGGTAACACTTGTTTACCTTTTGCTGAAAACATTTCAATACTGGATCTCACTTTCGACAAAAAGCTATCTTGAAAATTTAATATTATGTCACTCGAAAAAAAAATTCACACGAAAGCCTCAATTGCATTAAAACATTAAATCACTATGAATGGGCTACTGAATGTACTATATTATTAAAAGTATATAGATCGCTAGTAAAGGTTATAGGACTTGCAGTAGTCCACCTCAATGTAACTAAACAGTTCAAACTTAATAATTTAAGCAGTATTTATACAACCGAATACCTAGCACTAAATAAAGGAACCCAATTAGCTCTAGAAATTAATGATACAAAAATAGATATGTGTTCCGACTCACTCAGTACCTTGACTAATCTTCAATCTAATATGCCGACTGAGCGTTTGGCTCTAAAAATTAGTAAACTTTTTTTCTCATCAAATAAAGACATTAGATTCATTTGGACCCCAGGTTATTGCAACATAAAATGAAATAAGGAAGCAGATAAAGCAGCAAGAAATGCATTAAATAGTCCCACTAGTGAAATAAATAATTACTTTTTCATCACTTATTAACATAAAAAGAAATTTAAACAAATATTGCATTGATTTGTGGAACACCAAATGGCACACTGCAGCCACGGAAAATAAGTTAAGAGAAATTAAGAACTCTGTTGAACTCTGGCCTAAATACACTGACCTAAACAGAAAAAAATGAGGTAATTCTTAATAGACTTAGAATAGTTACACAAAATTCACACATGGACGCCGTATGGCAAAGACAGATCCACCCCTATGCTCAGCATGCAATGAAAACTACTCCAACACATCATCACACACTGCCCCAACTTCAACGAAGCTAGGAAAAATTTTAACATCCCTAACAACACGAACTAAGCAATTGGTCCATTTTCTAACTATTAAAACATAATTTTATATCAAAAAAATTGAATTGTACAATAACATATAATGATGTAAAAATGTAATACTTTTGTTAAAGCTAATAACCTATGTAGTAGGCTAATAACCTTATGCTTCACCAATAAACTAATAACAATAATAATAATAATAGCAACAATAGTTGATTTATTGTTAAACATTTTAAATGAAAACATCCCAATGGTGTAAGAAAACAGAAGACAAGGGAAATGCATAAATTGTGATTAAATTAAAACTTTAAGATAATGAAGAAGTACATTATTATTATAACAGTATTTTAATTTATTAATTTATTGACTATTTTATTTATTTTTGTTTGTTTTTAATTAAATTCAACGTACATTTCCTTTTTTGCTACATCATATTTTACTATTCATTCAACAAACAAACAAATTGTTATTTATTATTTATTTAGTTATTAAAGTTATTTAAGAACCCTTGATTAAAATTCACGAATTGTGTCCTAGATCTTTGGGGACTCATTTCATGTACATCTTTTTTATGGGACGTTACTCATGTGCTCTCGAGTGCCAACTGTTTTGGCATTGAATCCTACAGGTGTATTATGTGTGATAAATTGAAAAATGAACAAAAATAAAATTATTTTAATATTATTTACAGATGAATTGAGATCATAATATAAAAGTTAAAGCCTATAGACATTAAAACATTAATTATAACAGATGCGATGATTATTTATCGAACAGATTCATTAATATTTAATAGTGAAAAAGAGAAATAAAAAAAATAGCTACAGCCTCATATAAGGACATTTTTTCAACAAAATATTAATATATATACATATATATAATTTTAAATATTAGGTGGCAAGATTCTTAACACAAGTGACATCTGATGAATTAGCATTGACTGGATGCAATTTTTTTTCTGTTACTAGAACATTAATGCTAACGGTCAGTTTGATTATTTGATTTTTTATTTAATAATTATTAAAATTATGATTAGATGCACATAAATGTTTTAATTTTTTTTTTTTTACAATTATTTAGGTTGCTGGAACAATTGTCACATACGAGATCGTATTAATACAATTCAACAGTGTAAATGGTGAAGGAAACGGTCAAAATAATACTACTAATTACTGTCCATAATTATTGGAAGTTATATCGAGTACCTACTTTTAAATATTCAGGGAAAAAATTGTATGAACTATTACAAGTAGTATTGTTAAGGTACCATATTTAGTTTTAAATAAATTATTTATAACACAGTATAATAACAAATAAATGAAAGATTCATTAATATTATTTTATATTTTGTATTAGAATAATTTATTGAGTTATTATTAAAGAACAAGAATTTAGGAAAAAAAATAATTTGCATCTTTAATTAGCATAAGATACTAATATTAGATTATTTTTCAAATTAATTGTCTATATAATGTTACACAATTTAGTATTTTAAACTTTAGAAATAATGTAAGTAGTAGGAAAGTTAAATAAAATGTTATTTAAATTTTTTATTCATAAACCTAAATTAATTTTATATCTATAGTATTCTATACATGAATATAATTTATCATTTAAATATTATTGTGGAATAATTCAGTTTTTCTGAAGAACCTTTTGTCAAGATGCAAAACTGAAAATGGTATAACATTTATTTATGATACAAATTTAGATTATGTTTGTTGAGAACTATCATGGTGATGTAGTGGTGTAAACTAATGTTTTAATTTTGTAGCGATAACAGTAATATATATTTATTATATTTATTTATATTATAAGTTATAACCTACATTTTAGTTGATGCTTCGGTTGTACCTAGTACACTTTGTACGGCCACCTAGAAAAAATTAAAACTTCGGACAGTTTGTACTATTTCAGATAGAAAAAAATTATGCATATCACAAAATGTGTTATTAAACAGAAAGAAGACAGAAGAATTAAATTTTTTTATTTTATACAAATTGCAATTAATAGCTCAGCTTTTCATAATGGTTAGTGCAAGGATTTTCAGCTGTTATATTTTATCAATCGAATTGTGGTTATAATCAGTCAATTTTGTAAATAATTGATACTATGACATACCTAAATAAAAATATTAAAAAAAAATGATTTATAAATTATAACTCATTGGTTTATATAAAGGTTTGTAATAACTTAACTCGTACAAGTCACCTTTGAACACTTCTAACGAATATTTTATTTATTTATTCTCAAAATGCCATAGTCATACCCATATTTAAATATTTTTGGATTTCATTTTGTATTTAGGTTTTTGTTCATAGTGTATTTTAGAGTGTACCTATATAGTTTATGTTCTACTGCCTACTGTATCACCAAACGCGATCACGAATCGCGGTTTAAAGTTTTGAGCAATTTGATTTTATCTTATCTTGTAAAATATATTTACCGGTTTATTTATATACCGTACAAATAATTCAAGATTGATTTTTATCAATTTATATCACCGTACAGAGTGTCCGCGATTGATTTTTATATTTACCAGTTTATTTTCACTTACAAAGTGTCCGCGGTATGCAACTCCAACAATAGATAGTACAAAGTGTCTGTTTACCGTTTCCACGCAAGGTACTACTAACTAATAACTTATTAGTAATAAGTATTTAATAAAATATTTATTTTTTTTTTTTTTGAGGGGAACCCGCGGCAACATAGGCCATTGGGTGTGGGGGTGGTACGSTAGGAGTTATTTTTGTATATTTGTTTGTAGGTTTTTTAGTTGGTAGGGACGGTAGGGTTGTAACACGTGTTCGTGTATGTGTGGCAAGGATATGTTGCTAAAAATCCCGGGTGGTCACCCATCCAGGGGCTAGCAACTGCGGCCGGTACGTACGCTCAGTGCGTTTCCGCAGATTGAGCGTACGACCGCGCCTCACCAGTCACCAAGCCACTAAAATATTTTTTAAATATAATTTAATATTAATTTTTTAAACTACATAATTTTTGAAAAAATATTCCAATATAAATGGTATAATTATATCACTGGTAAGTGGTAAAATATTTATTGATCAGTTATTGAGTTGTAATGAATGTATGAACGTATAATGTTGAAATATGGTTTAAATAAGTTGGATAAGATAGAAGACCTTGAACTATTTTATTTAATACAGATCTGCCTATCTTTTTACTCAATATTGAAAACTATTTTAAAATAAATGTTATCGTTTAATGGAATAAGTTGATTATAGTCTTGTTTAAAAGTAGGGTTTTTTTAGATATACATTATGTATAAAGCAATAAAATAGTCAAATTTATTATTTACTTTTTATTGCATACATATTCAATATTTTAACATCAATCATTAATATTACTTGAATAACGACTAGGAAATATATTGTTTGCTATGATAAAATTAAAATTAGGTATTCTTTGACGATTACATAATTTATTAATATCACGTCGATGGAAAGTACTGATGTAGAAATAATTTTAAAAATGTGGCTTGGTGAAGCGCGATCAATTTGCAGTAACACACTGAGCGTACGCACCAGCCGTGTGCTAGATCCCAGATGGGTGACCAGGGATTTTTAGTAACACATTCTTGACACACATACATAAAATACGTGTTACAACCTACCAAATTAAAAATCTATGAACAAATACCCGAAAATAACTCCTACCGTACCACCCCATACCTAATGGCATTTGTTGCCGTGGCACAAGTTCCCACTGCAAAAAAAAAAAAAATTGATTATATTTTTAAATATTACTGTTATTATAGTAGTAATACGAAAACTGGAAATAATTGCAGTACTGCTGTAGCAGTAGTTTTTTCTATGGTCTTATGGTCAATGTATAAACACTATAAACAGAAGATGTTAAAATATGATTTAAATGAGCTGGATAATATAGAAGACAAAGCACCTTGAACTATATAATATAATAGTATAATGAGTTAATGAGTACGGTAGAGTAGCTACGATGTCGTAAGTCAGCAAGATGGTATAAAAATGTCTTATTTAATTTATTAAACGTGATAATATGGAATATATGTTTTAGTTTAGAAAACTTTTTTTTTCATGACCTGAGATTTAAAGACTTTAGACTCTTTGGAGACTCTCTATTGAAAATTTAATACAAAATCCTTTACATGCAACTTGTGATCAATTATTAAAAAAAATAAAACCAAAAAAATTAGATATGGCCATATGGGTACCTATATCTGGTGGATAATACATACTTTTATGAAACGATTACAATTCCTACATGCTACAAAAAAAATACAATATACATAAAAAAAATTGCGTTGTATGTTGTACAAGGAAAGATCGAAAACAAACTTAGTTTAACGAAAAACGTGTAATAAGGTTCCAATTCGGGTTTCATTATGTGCTGGAAAATGTTTCAAAGTTTACCACAAAGATGAAAGTTTGGCATTAAAGAATTAATTTGTTTTATTAGTATTAGTAGATGAGTATATTTTTTTTTGGAGATAAAAAAAAATACATTTCTGTTAAACAATTATTTTTACTTGTAAAGATACATATTTTATTTTTGTAATTATTATGCCATCTACCTATTCATCTAATAAAAATAATTTTAATTATTTTCCAACATAATAATATGTAAAAAATATAGTAATGTGTTCATAAAAAAAAAAAACAACTTTGTTATTTCTGCTATAGCAGTTTATTAAATATTTTGACATGTGTACTTCATACATATTGATTATTAGGGGCACTTCTGCTACAGTAGTAGGAAATGAAAATGTAATATTTTTGGACGGGTTTGTAGAAGAATGAAAAACGAAGTGTCCATTAACGTGTTATTTTTGGTAGTTACCTGTTAAATTATATTTGCAAGTTAAATGTGTGAAACAAAATGCATAGGAAAATATTATAGTTACTTTGGCATTGGTGAATCAGTAATAGCAATTTTTATACACCAAAAACATATTATGTATATACTAAATGAATACCTTTTGATAGGCGTTAATTATTTGGTGGATAAAACTTAAAATGTTTATAATGATTTTAAAATTACATTTCATAACGTCAAAAATTACTATAATCATATTTTCCAATAACGTGTGTTCCATGTGTCATGATAATCCGATAACATCTCCTAGCACTTTGTATTTGTTAATGAATATTTAACGACTCCTCGAATTCAAACTCAGGAAAGTCGTTTAGTGTGATGATTATTTACTTGTGTCGTAGTGACTTAACTAGTTTTCACATTTTTTACTATGTCTGACGAAAACACTTTTCAGCCCGTTTATCTCAAGGACAGGAATTTCATTGAATCTGGATCTGAACGACATATGAAAAAAAGTTTACTAACCGATCCGGAGGTCCGTTCAAGTTATAATGCGTTGAGTTTAAAAGAAAACAAGAGGAATATTGGTAATATTGGTTTTTTAAACTTATGACTATTGGAACATTGATCATATCGAAATGATAAATCTCATATGTGAAAAACTCAATTAGTTTTTTTTTCTTACAAAGTATAATTGAGAAAATAAATAAATTTTTTTTAAGCGCTTGAAATACAAGACGATCTTGGTATGCCGGTAAACTACGTAAGAATCAAAGCCTTGGAAGACAGTATAAGGAAGGACATAATTAGCGATAAAAATTCGTTGCACAGAGCAATTACTCCTGTACTTATTTTTGCGCATATTTGTGCTCTTTTTCCAGTTAAAGGCATTAGAGAACAAAACACTAGTTATTTAGTGTAAGTAATACGCTATGTAGATTTAATATTCAGTTTGTTTTAACTATGAATTGGACGGCTTTAATTTCCATAATTTATGTTTTATTATTTATACTTATGTTGTACTCATAAAACTGTTAAGTTGAATTTACGAATTACTAAAAAAAGTAAGTTTGTATGCACTGTTGCACATGCGCAAACCCAAAAGGTAAAAATTTTCAAAGTTTTTCAAATGTATCCTATCCTTTTTATCTCGATTTGAATATAAGCTCCTTTAGCAGAAATATTAATTCGTATATAATATTAATATGAACATACATGTAGGTTCGTAATATTATGTATGTATACCCTATATGGCTATATATATACATTATACTTTACTATAATTGTATTATATATAAATATATTTAATTCTATAAAAGTTGATATATAGGTATGTTGTGCACTTGTACAGAAATCGTTTTTTAAATTAATCTCAAATATTAATAATTAATAAGTAACTTTTATTATTAATTCTATATTTTATATGTTTTAGTTTCAATTGGTTCAGCTGGCTAATGGCATACACTGTTATTCTAATTGGCTCTTCTACCTTAATAGTTTTGTTAATAATATACAATTTTTATAGAAATGGACTGACATATGAAAACACTGGTAAAGTTAATAATTTCTTGTTTTATATAACTTTTATTTTATTTATTTTATTTTTTGCTCAAATACTATAGATTATTGATGAAAGGTTATACTTACTTGATTTTACTTAACTATAATATAAAAGGACGGAAAAAGACTTTCTTATACTTAGCAATTATATTACCTGGAAGTCTAATATTTTAAAGCTAGTAATAATAATATTTTTATTATTATTAATTATGATTATACATAGTTTAAACTTTAATTCAAATAATATAATATAGCATAAAATATTTTAGTTCACTGAAAATGTTACTATTATCTTGAAACTTTGAAACTGGTGAATACAAGTAAGAATATTTGGTTTACAGGTGAATTAGTATTTTTTGGAGGTACACTAATTGTTTACATAGTTTTTATCCACTTGGCAAGAGAATGGCCAAAAGTAATGGGAAAATGGGAATTGATGGAACGCGAGATGAAACAATATGGATATCCATCGAAGATGGCATTTAGGATTAAAATGTTAACATATATCATCATTTTACTTTCAGCAAGTACGTAAAATATAACAAGAAAAAAACAATGTTATTTTTATAATAACTTAGAGATTGATAAAACTCTTATGCATGCGCATATGTCGTAATGGTAACGCAAAGCTAAATTAAACGGATTATGTAGTATAATAAGTCATTAATAGTAGTTGTATCACATCTATGTTTTATTTTTACAGTTGAATATTTGGCTGTTGTTTTAACGGGTGTTTTAAAAATTATACATTGCTCATCGGGTGGACTAGATATTTTTAGTATTTTCATGATAACATCGTTTAAAGCAACCTTTACGTATATAAACTACTCGTTAGTAGTAGCTATAATATTGAAGATTTTTGATTGTCTCTATAGTTTTGTTTGGAATTTTATGGATTTATTTATAATCACATTAGCTTGTGCTTTGACGAACAAATTCAAGCAGCTCAATAAAAAATTAGCCAGTGTCAGGGGAAAAGTAAGTAATAACTGTTAACAGTTTTAACCTACTACATGAAATAAGACTCATACCTTGTTGATATTTAAATAATAATAATGTTTAAATCGACAAATTATATTAAATTTATAAGGTTGAGTGTTATGTTATTAAAATAAATTTACTGTTGTTTGATTATTATTAAAACCTAACTATATATTATTATAGTAGTAGACACATTAATTCATGTTTCCATAAAATCTATAATATTGTGAATTGTTCACAAACTTAAGGATACGCCTAATCTAAAAAATTACTGTTCATTAATTTACATTTAATCTATTATTACCTAAACAAGTTATTTCTCTTATCTATGTAAAGTGTAATGAATGCCAGTTTACCTAATTTTTTTGATTTAAATCTTAGGTGCTTCCAAGTATGTATTGGCGGAAATCTAGAGAAACGTATAATACTTTAGCGTCGTTAACTCACGATTTTGATGAATTTCTATCACCAGTGATATTATTATCATTTGGTCATAATTTGTACTTTATTTGCATACATCTTCTCAACAGCTTAGAGTATATCAAAAATATATTTTTGCATGTTTTGTGAAGGCTGATAAGTGATAAGTAATAAAAAAATATTCATTATTTTTAGACCTATGCATAGCTCTTGGGAGGTTGTATGTTTTGCATATTTATTTACGTACCTAATCGGAAGAACATGCGCTGTGTCTTTGTATGTCGCATCCATTTATGATCAAAGCAAAAAACCAAAAGCCGTTTTATTTTCTGTACCAGCAGAGTGTTATGGAGTTGAGGTGAATTTAAGATTGATTTGAAAATGGCATGCATATTTATCTTTAATATGAAATACCAAGTGGGTATATATATTTTTTTAATTACAGGTAGAAAGATTTTTAATGCAGGTGTCCGCTGACGAATTATCAATTACTGGATGTAATTTTTTTTCCGTCACTAGGACGTTTATGCTAACGGTAGTTATTTTTGATCACTTGTTCAGTCTTTTTACAAGCGTTATGACTATATGAGTGTAAATGTTTCATTTTACTATGATTATTTAGGTCGCTGGAACTATAGCCACGTACGAGATCGTATTATTACAATTTAACAATATGAATAACGAAGCACTTGATAAAAATAACACCGTTGCTAATATTTGTCCGAAGTTATTATGATTGATTAGTAATAGCTTGGATGGCAAATGAAACGAAGTTAATCACCTCTTTAGTAATTAAAAAAAAAACATGAATAGTTAGAATCTAACCAATGATTTTTCTGTGATTTACTTTATAAAGATGGCATAAATGTCGATGATACTTTCTAACTTTAATAATAAAAGAATTCGTGTATTTATACCTTGTAACGTAGATACTTATTCACCAAAATATAACTGTCATAAAAAAAACTCATCTTTCAAGTAAGCAATTCGTAATCTGCAAACACTATAATTAACCTTTGCCTAATGAGAATGAATCATTATGAACTTAGAGTCTCTAATAAACAGACATTCTTAAAATTAATGAATGCGTTGAAACTTTGTGAATAGGTAACGTTATAACTACTATATTGATAGCTACATGTTATGTACAACTTTTCCATTTTATGCTTAGGACTTATTAAGTCAAATCGTACATGACATTTCTGAATCGGAAGTTCTATACAAGGTAAGTACAAATTTATTTAAACACCCTTCCCGTATTGCTTTACGTATATATACTATATGTATATACTAAAATAAAGGAAAAACTCTTGTACTCATTCCCTTCATAAAATATCACATTAAGTGATAATATTAATAATAATGAGTGAAAAGTATACAGGACTGAAGAATAATATACATAACTATATTTTTACATAAATGCGTTAATAATTTTCAAAAGTATAATTTTATCACATCTACTAATTAATCAATTCACTATTCGTCTCATACTCTTCAATCTTTGTTATTTTTAACTCATTAAAGATCTCCGGAGTTAATATATTATATTATTATATATAAAATGCCTTACCTGACTCACAGCTGTCTATGGACTAACAGCTGTTTTATGCTTTAAGTATAAGGCGACACAGAGTGTATAATCATAGGTATAATCGAATAAAAATAATAAAACGCACTGGTCATTGCGTACCTATTAAAAGTGGTCAAGTTTGTGTGGTATACATCAACTGATTTAAGGGACGACAATGTTATGATGACTTGATGCAACGTCGGCGAAAGGGGAGGGCAGAAGTGGCAGCTGCCCAGGGCCCCACGCCCATCATCGCATTTTATGATTCGTAACTTTGTAAGCTCATGATTTTGTTTTAAAATCAAATATACAAGCTCAACGCTTTCTGTTGGTTCACTGAACTCCTGTCATCGTTTTATTCCCGATACGGCCCGCGAACTACAAGCCCCGCTGTACGACACGGCAGCCGAGATCATGCAACAGGACGCTCGCCGATACAGCGCGACTATCACAACTGAGCCAACGCGCGGTCAGAGGCAGGCTGTCTGATCGTAAATATAATTGGCCTACGCAATCTCGCAGATCTTAACAATAACGAACTGGATGGCAAGGTCCTGCGTGCCCGACGTCATCGCCATCACCGACCAAGGCCGACAGTTCGAATAGGATCTGTTCAAATCTTTGATCACCTTTTCGGCATCATTCAGCACATTCGAACATCGCCGTATCACCCTGAGACCAACGGAACGGTATAGTACGTTTTCACCGCACGCCGCGCACGAATCACCGCTGCAGTGCAGGTCACCCAAGCTGCTCGTCGCATTATATATTACTCGCGCTGCGCAACGCAGTCAAAGCAGCCGGCGTCGGACAACATTCAGCCGAGTTGGTATACGGCACCACCATGCTCAGACTCCCAGGCGAGTACTTTCACCCCGCTCAACCCCGAGCCACGACCGGACGAGCTGGTAGCCGGATCAGTCATGACGTGTTCGTCCAGATCGACGCGATCAGACCACCGCTACCACCACGTTACGAGGGCCCCCTGGTCGTACTCGTCGAACTCTGGGAGAAGACGTTATTCAAATTTCAAGGTGCAATGCGGCCTGTCCGTCACGGCGCCGATTGCCACCGATCGACTCGAACCAGCGTCATTCATCGTTACGGGAGCATCCACTTAACGACCATCACACGTATATATACCTGTTAGGGCCGGAAGCATATAATGTTAATATGCGCACTCCGGACACCTTTGYTGCTCACCACTAACACCTAGGTCTTAAATATGCGAGGACTAGCTGGGTGTGTAGTGGTGTAATAGCTCGAACAGCAGTGGTCGGGATTGCCGGGCAAATACTGTCGAGCTACGTAATG